TAGCTTTTGAGGTGAATGCCGACATTTTTGTGCTTTGTAAAGAATATTACCATAAAATATTGGTAAAAAATACTAAAGGTTCTCGACAAAAGAAATAACTTCAGTTTTCCTATTTTAAATTGTCCATTTTTACGAAACACCACCAGCGTATGGAATGTGTATCTTCCAGTTGATACGGTACTCCACGGCTTATTTTTCCTATCATGCTTCCATTAGTAGTCATCTCGTAAGACGTCATGTCATCGTAATTCGGGTGACCGCTATTACCATGGGTATGTTCCACTTGTAAATACAGTCCAACCCTCGTTTTCCCCATTGGGACATCACCGAATATCATTTCGGTTATAACCGCAACTGTCTCCATGACAATTATGATGGGAATTATTCCTACCCTACCGAAGCACCTGCGTTTGTCTCTTGCTTGGCGTTTTGCTCTTGATTTTGTGTTCAGTGCTGTATTTTGAACTACATGCATTTTATTTTGCAGTGTTTGTGTTGTTTGTACTGGTAGCAGTCTTATCTTTATTTATACATAAAGACTTACTTGTATTTCAAACTTCTACATTACATAAAACTATTGAAAAAAAAACTGACGAAATACCAAGAGGACATTTACAATTCATAAGTCGAAGAGAATCAACTGACGCCGCCATGGCAAAAAACAAAACAAAAAAACGAAAGACGACGAAAAGACTACTGCACAGAAAACTATAGACTGAGCAAGACCAACCTTATCAAAAACCGGGGGTTATCTCAGGTGCTCCGAAATGGTAATCATATCCTGTTCCACCACTTGTACCCGTCATATAGAGTTAGATTATTGGTGCGTGCCAATTGTTTATGAATTTCGAAATGTCGTAGGGTTAAAGAAGTGAAAATTATCAATACGCTTTTGTATGATGGGTAATCACCAAAGAGAAATCGTTAACGTTTTTTACACGAATAACACGGCTGGGTCAATAGTGACACAGTAACTGCTGACTATTCCGAAACGTCTGTGCACACTTCTTATTTTTGGTTAGTTGGATTCGTTTTGCTGAAATTTTAGTTTTGTTTAAATTGTTTTGTTGACTTATTGTTTTCTGAAAAGTGTTTATCATGTATTTTTCATGATTTATAAATTGTATTGATGGTTTGAATATACAAGTAATAATGATTTTATAAAATATATCTATGATTTAAACAATATCAGGAATGAAGGGTAAACTACAAAAAATGAACTCAGAGAACAAATAAAGAAAATTTTTCCTTGCGATGTTTATCGACCAAATCCTTTAGAGAGGACAGATTTAGATAATATAGATGATATAGATGTAGTCACAACGAGTATCTCTAAAGAATCAGCAAACCCATTCTATACTGTCGGAGACGAAATATTCAAGTGTTTGTCAGTAACAATTAAAACATGATGTTCTTAATGCTCTTGCTATGGTGGACCTGCCCATATTATAACTCTTTGAAGACGAGAAAGCATTTGAAGGGGATATTGCTCTTTACAGTTTGGCGATCCTTTTTTTTTTTTTTTTTTTGGCTGAAACGAACAAGTAGTATATATATATGTGGGAAAAGCGGATATTTGCTGCAATTTTTGCATTTTTTTATATTGTTAATATACATGCAACCACAGCCGATAATGATATTCAGTATGGCTTTGTCAGGTTTTAATAAAATTTGCAGTCATTCATGAGTGATTGTTTGTTTACAAATGTCTATGAATGATTTTTAAAGAATTCAGAAATAAAAAAAGATTTGGTTACAGAATTACAATAAACTGATTAAATGTCTTATGATAATTTACACTTATAAAGGTCTAAAAACGAGTTAAAACCAGTCTTGACATATTGGAAAATAGCAGAGTCTATTTGTAATCTGCCCATGTTATAATATTTTGCATCCATTTTTACGGAGCCAAAATAATTGACCGAACTTAAATTAGCAAAATCTTTCCATAAATAGATCAATAAATAGAAAAATAATGATATACATAAATAAGAGGCTTCAGATACAATAAGCACAATAAAAAGTTATGTCGAGGAAATACGGACAATACCTTTACCTTTACGAAAATAACGTCGAATAAACAAACAAAATTCTACAAAAGACTATACAGAAAATTAGACAGCAACATAAACACTGCCAAAACCGGGTTAAATTTCATGGGATCAGGATATATGCGCAGATCCTGCTATACTAGACGCATCCGTCGTGTTGCTACATATGTAATCAAGAAAAAACAAGTCAGGAAAGACAGTATGCTTAATAGAAAAAGTACAAAAAAACCAACAAAAGTACAAAAAAGAATTACACAGAAAATCATGCTTGGTCAACACTAACTCACTAAACATTAGTTTTGAGAACTGGATGTTCCAAAAGAGTCAACAATTCGTACAGGCAATTATGTGGTTTAACAGAGAAAAGACACAAAAGAACGATTGGAATGATAAGTCCAATAAAAACAGACCATGGCGAAAAATGAAAATAAAACACACAAAAAATAACAAGATATTAAACAGAAAAATGAAGATTGTGCAACACAAATTCCATCTAAAAATCGGTAGGATAGGAAGAAAAACAGTGAAACCAATAGTAAATCGCTACAATGCAGCGAGATAGGTTTGACATTGTGAGCATGCATCAACCCTCACACGATTTCAAAGTCACACCCAGTCATGGTCAGGAACTTGTTGGACGATCTACAGCAAAGTAAACATGTCTCTAGTAATTGCAACACCAAAAACTATCCGATCAACTAATTAGTTTTTTTTTTCTCTTTTCTATTAAATTAACGGAGTTTGCATTGTCTCTCGTGCCGTGTTAAGGCTGTAGAAAGTTTCCACGTGCTTTAGATGTATGCTCTTATTGGTGTTTCTTTTAATTTATGGCGTATTTATTCTTGAGATAACTTATCTGATGTGTGCTACATCATTCTCCCAATTTGCTGTGTATATACTGATTTTGTGTCATGAATGGATACCCGATATCCTTTCTTTTCTAAATAATTTATTCGTGTTTACCTCAGGTTCCTTGTTTAATATGTTTCAATATAAAACAAACATGTGGATATCTATTGAAGCATACATTATATAATATACATAAACAAACGGGCTAAGTCTTGCAGATAAAGTCCTATAGTATCAACTCAGATAATGATACTATAACTCTTTACACTTTACACAGTATTACGTATATGCTTACATCTTACTGCTCAAGAAGTGTGAAATCATAGAATTTTTCACTGTGATAATTCCTGCTATCAGTTTTACTATAATGTTTTGTGATACAGCACAAAAACAAATAAAAGATAAACCAATCAAAGCATTATCAATATCTTATAAACTTTTAAGTTAATCAGTAGTCGATATTTTATATACACAATCGCATACATACGTACGTGTGTGTCTAAAATTAGTTATGATTTTAGTCGGTTCTGACTAATCTATGAAAAAGTGCGAGTAGCTTCATTACATCTGATTTTATAGTTACTGTGCATTTCCAACCTGTTTTTACTATCCCTTGACTATGCCAAACATTATAGGAAAAGTGATTTGTGTTTCTATGGGTAATAAAGAACATATTTTTTAAATAAAATAAGACAGGCAACACCATTGCCATACGAAGGTAGATGATAAGACTAAACACAAATTTAAAACTACTACACAGAAAACAAAAGATGAGCAACACGAATCTCAACCCGAAAATACCTTTTCTAAGAAATCAACAACAAGATGTAGTAAAAACAAACTGTATGTACTAAAGTTTTCGTTAATATTGTAAGGACGCAAAGGAAATTGCGACCTCATTATTATAACAGGCTTCAAATATATTTTCAAAATAATTAATTCGCTAAAGTAAGCATGCATATTTTAAAAGATTCTCCATCGTCTGTTGATAATGCATACGCGTAGCACCGTCTAATTAATATACATTTCAGTAAAAAAAAAGGACGACGAAGCTACATTTCGTTCGAGGACTCACTATTAATTATGTTAAAAGAGGTAACAAAAGAAACGCAGAAAGATAAAATTGAAGCAACATATACAAACACCTATGAAAACGTTGACTTTAAAAAAGTAAAAAAAAAACATGCTTCAGTAACTTTGCTGTGATATTCCAAGATTTAGGTTTGGTTCAGCTTAACACTTTTATCCAGAATAACATTAAAGCTATTCGGGAAAATAAAGATGCATCTTTGGTTATTTTTCAGACAAATGTTGATCAGTAGAACTAAAGTAGAATCGTACACAGATATATTGAATGTATGTTGATTTTAAAATGTCTAATGACAAACATTTTATGCATATTCATGTATAACACAAATTTGAAAATAAAACCAGTAGGTTCTACAAATTGGGTAAACCGGAACGAAGGGTGGAAAATTGTGAATTTCATTGGAAAATGAGATCATCAGTACAAAAGCTTTGGGTAAAAGAGAGGCGAAAGATACCAAAGGGATATTCAAACTCACAAGTAGAAAATAAACTGACAACACCATGTCAAAAAAGAAAATGAACAAAAGATAAACAATAGTGTACAAAACACAACACAAAGATTGAGCAACACGAACCCAATCAAAAAACGAGGGTGATCTCTGGTGCTCCGTTTTGAGATAGCAGATCCTGCTTCACATGTGTCACCCGTCGTGTTGCCTATGCTAGTACAAATCAGGAGATAAGTCAAATCGGTAGGTCACATTCGGAGAAAGGAGGCCGATATTGTGTTTACGACGTCATCTCTGAAACAGATATTTTGTAATAGAAACAGGTAGCTTGTGCCGTTATGTCTGTCAATTAACCAGTTGGCACCACTAATTTAAGACATTTGGGGTTAAAAAAAAACGTACAAAAGAATTTCAGACCTCATTAGACACGTTAGATGCGTTTTAATCCAAACGTTTTTGAAATGAAATACAAAAATTTCTATTTGGAGTATGGGATCAAAACAGCATCTCATCTTAATAAAATAAAAAAATAAAACCAGGTGAAACCACGAATGTTGCCTTATTGAGTTACATCCTAATATAATAAAATATCTGTAAGACAGTTTGGAAAAGACCTCAATCATCTTTTCTCTTTCCATGACATATGTACTTGAATACCTTACATCTTTAAAATTGATATGAAACGGCTGTGATCTAAAACAAACTTTTGAGAAAGAAACAACCGGCTGTCCACACAGTCCTTGAGAGAATAAAATTGTTTTGTTGCAATATGTTTGCAAACTTTTCTTTTATTTATTCACTAATGTTTTCTGTCTCTTGCTATTAAGAGCATAACATACATAGCATTCCATAGCCAACCGTTTATTTTCAAAAACCTTATATTAAAAGTTGATATGGTCTGGTTGCTTCATTGTCGACATATACACGTCACCTTTTTTTAGGCACAAATAAGCTATACATTTTTAGTATATCAAAAGCTGGATCCATAATCACTGACATAAGTATAAAATGGTTCAAGTTTCGAATGGTCAGGATTCGGACTGTTTTTTGCCCTCATGCTATACATTTTGTATTCTCAGCTGTTTAATCGAATTGGTTCCGCCTCGTGTTTGATTTTTTTAACTGATACATATACATTTTAACAGAGAAATCAAAACGCCAAGTTGTTCTCCTTCAGAATTACATTTGGGAATCAAAGTCAGCACTTTGTTTTCACTGTTTATAATCGTTCGTTTAAAGAATCGAATCTGATACTATGTTTTCAAGACCAAATCTAAAAAACGTATACAAGTAACTTGTAAAATAAAACATATAATGGCATGTTGACGCTTTTTTTTATAATATGTAAAAACTCAACAAAGATATGCATGCATATAACAGTAAATAAGCATGTATATTATACAATGGTTCAAGCATCGAAAGTTCAGGATTCGGGCTGCTTTTTGATCTGATGCTATACATTTCGTATTCCTCTAATAATCCTTTAATCTAATTGGTTCCGAGCACAGATGACAATAGATATGTTCCAATTGTCGTAATTACATTCCCTTCCCCTTTTCCCCGAATGTGACCTACCGAATTAGAATTACAACCGGGTTTGTACTAACATGAGCAACACGACGTGTGAGACATGTGGAGCAGGATCTGCTTTCCCTTTTGGAGCACCAGAGATCACCCCAGTTTTTCGTGGGGTTCGTGTTGCTCAGTCTTTAGTTTTCTATGTTGTGTTTTATGTACTGTTGCTGATCGTTTCCTTTTTTTTACATGGCGTTGTCAGTTTATTTTCGACCTATGAGTTTGAGTGTGCTTTTGGTATCTTTCGCCTCTCGTAAGTCAAGAGAAGAAATTTAATTTCCTCGGATATATCCAAATTCAAAACAAAATACCATGATAACTATGAAAAACATAGTACATAATAGATTGGGACAGTATTGTCTTGTTTATAATATATATTGTATATCAGTTAATGTAATTAAATGCCTTGCACATTACCCAATTTCTCTTGAAGACGATATCTTTGTTTTATCAAATATAAAGATTCCTTTTCAGGACAAAGTAAGAGTATGTATAACTTGCTGCATATGCTCTTTACATCAACTTAAATGGCATACAGTTTCAGAATAGCGGTTGAAATTATTCAATACAAATAACAAGGTGAGTTAAATTCATCGATACAACTGTACTCCTTTATGTGTACATTGGGGTATGCAACCTTTGTTAAAATAAAGATCTATAATGTGATTATACTTACGATAAAGATTGAAAACTTTGATCGTTTCTTGCATATCCAGGTTTTTAAGAACGTGTTGAAATTAAACCATTTGGTGTTCAAAATTCTTCACATGAATCCTTAATTTTTCCCATCTCTATAGAACTATGTGTTACCTTATTTCTGAAAAATTGGTATTTTAACAATGAAAAACTGGAGCTGATAAAAGAAACATAGATGACACTTTTTCAATTAGTTACCCTTTCAACCACCAGTTTGTCGAAACTCGGAAGCTAATTGACATATTTGACACTTTTTTACCTAGATTTACAATTTAAGATCTGACTTCAGCAGAACACATTAAGAAACAATATTTTTTTTTCTAATGATCATGTCTACACACGGAAATGTTGTATTACACATCATTATTTTATTAAATAATGAAAACATTTTGTAATAATTGTTGTAAGCAAATTGTTTATTTTAACTGGTGACAAAACTTAGTCATAATATCACAAAAGAGTGGAAGAGATACAGTTACAATGTTTCAAATCACTGTACCACCTTAAGCAAGTAACAAAGGCAACACTATGGAAGCCTCTTTGTATTTTTTAAGACAAAAATGAAAAAAAAACAATTAAAAAGACACAAATATGCAATGACGTAAAAGGATCAACTAATATTCGTAGAAGAAATGGCACAACCAATCAGGTAAAACTCTTTAAATGGACAATCAAAACAGACTAACGTGGTGTTTTGTAATAGATTTTGTGACTTCAAAACCGCCTTAACATATAGAAATAGGTTTAAAATAAACCCCAAAAACCTCACTTTAAAAATAAATGGAATTAATTTAAAGCACAAAGGAAGTACTAACGACAATACCATGTAAATAAATCATTGAAGGTACAAATCAATAGCTTCAGTGTCGTATAGGTCATCGATAGCTGGTTCACATTCGAATTCACCTCTCTATTGTTTAAGACTTCATGTTAATTTGTGCTTTTTGATATTTATCAATCTGAGTTGCTATCGCTGTGACGTAAGCAATGTATGGTCCATGTTACTTTTTTTTATTTCTTCATTCCTAAATTAAAAGAATAAGGAATGAACACTTTATTAAATAATATGTAAAATTGACCACATAGGAATAAACTTTGCAAAACATGCATGTACAAATATTGAAAAAAAAATAGATGTCCTGCAAACATCAAACACTGCAATACACCATGCTACTTCAAAGTAAAGTCCTTACCTCATCCTGAAGGATATCTGGACTAATGAAAACACCATCCGTGCAAGCAGCATAACAACAAATATAGGAGATACTATTTGTAAAAAACAGTATCTATTAGAAAAAATCAACACGTAAGACATTAGGCTAAATAATCAATTATCTAAGTATAGTATTGCGAGGATTAAGGTGTCGTCGCTCTTGATATTCTTACTTTTTAACAAAATATGTGTTAACAGTTTGTGATACATTTAGCATGTGTACAAATGATAATATAAATCAGTTACACATATAACAGACACATAATAAAACTCTCAAGATGCAATTGATATTCACGCAATTCAGTCGTGTGTATTGTTATACATGTATTATCAAATGAAAACATATATTGCAGAAACACTTCATACAAAAAGTGATTCGCTTACCACCTTTATACTCTAATAAAATTAGGGAAAACATGCTCTGTTTGAATAAAGATATGGTAAGAGACAACCACTACCAAGGTTCCTGGCGTGATACTTTAGTCTGGTTGAGTAAAAGTATTACCATAATATGATCTGAGATAAATAATTAAATGTAACTTCTTAGAGCTGGAATTATAATTCGATTCCTGTACTATATCTCAATGTTTTGGTATTATACAGAAGGTTGAGTTGAATTTTTGTTATATTTGCTTCTATATCTTCACAGCGTTTCATGAGTCGGAACTATTTATACATGATGTACACGTAGCCCGACAAATGAGAGGATTATGCAATGATAGGTTGCTAGAAACAAATTCTCTTTTCTGACTGTTATTACCAGCGTAATGAATACGATGAATTCAATATAATTGTTCTTACAAGAACTTTTAATTTGATTTTATATGCAAGCTTTCATTCATCATGATTTTAATTGGCTTCTGATAACAATGATTTCACAGTTAAAATGATATGCAGGGATTACAAAATATAGCGAGGACATTCATGAAATTTGCATTCCGAATCACGCAAGAAACTTTTTGTTACATGGATATTTATTTAACAAAATCTAAATATTTAATTTGTTTAAGTTATCCAAACTATACATTATATTTTATATTTAGAGTTGCTATTACTTCCTTATTGATCCATTATTGCAAACAATAAAGCCAGGACAAATGCAAGAAGCCCTAAAGTTGAAAAAAAATGATTTTTTATTTTCAATTGTAAATATATTAGTGATCTCAAAACATGTAAATTCAAATAATACTTTTGCTTTGAGCGTTTCAAATGAGGGCGCATCCATAAAAACGCATAGGACGCAAAGTTTTTATCAAATGCTATTTTCTGTTTTTTTATGTCAATTGAAAAAATGTCAATTTAGCAGCTGAAATTGGGCTTTGAATTAGCTATTAGTAACTATGAGTACTCTGAGGCAGGTACATTGTGTCTTTTGTTATTTCATAACCTGCTTGTTTGTGCCTAGTACAGATCCGATGAGTCTAGCCATTTTATCTAATGTGTAGCGCATTGGTGAACTGTTGCATCACAATCCTAAATTTTAGATTAAGCGCACATTATCATGTTTAATCCCACCACATCTTTAACGAGCCTCTTCCAAAACAGGAGTTTATTATCAAGTTGTTTTTGTTGGTTGCTGTCAGTCATACTCTTTCCCTACTTTTTGATGCCACATTTTGTCATCATGTGTCTTATTACAGATAATGAATGAACTAGCGCTTTTATGAATATGATTGATAAAAAAGTGCATCGAAAAGATTTTAATCACAAAAACAGATAAAGATTTTGAAAGCTTGCTTACATGTTTTATAAAAAAAAAATCCATATTTAGTGTATTATTTCAAGTGTTATGCATTGAAGTTTAAGCACAATGTTTAAATTAAATAAATGAGATGTCACAATAAGAAAGTTTGATCGTAAAAAGTGTTTCAAAAACATTAAAACAAAACGTTTAAGACAAATATTTTAGACAGCATTTTAGTGTTGAAGGTGTTTGTGTTCTTATATAGTCGCACTAAATTTCAAAATATCAAAAAGCGCTCAACAATATATGCATTAAAACACAATTAAAAGTGAAATTTAAAAACTTTACCTGAGTCACTTTTCTCATCGGCAAGATCCCCTTCTATTGACGTTGTAGTTTCTGTAGATATAGACGATGCTGGTTTCTCTGTTGGTAGTGACGAAACTGCAGTCTGAAGATGATGATGATGACATCGTAGTCTCTGAAGGTAATGACAATAATGCTGTCTTTGCAGATATTGAGGATCGTGATGTTGTTGTTGCTGTTTTCTCTATAAGTAAGGACGATGCTGTTAATAAAAGTGAAAATGTTGTCTTCGTAATCAGTGATGGCGATATTGTCTCTGTTACTGAAGACCACATTGTTGTTTCTATTTGTTTTGACGTTTTTGTTGTAACTGTTGGTACCGACTTTGGTGTTTTCTCTGTTGGTACCGACGATTATGCTGTCTTAGTTGGTAATGATGCTTGTTAATTTTGACGTTTGTGTTGTCTTTATTGGTACTGATACTTGTGTTATCTCTATTGAAACTGATGCTTGTCTTGTCTCTATTTTACTGACGTTTGTCCTGAAACTGTTGGTATTGACAATTGTGTTGTCTCTGTTGGTAAAAACGATTGTGTTGTCTCTAATGTAACTGACGTTTGTGTTGTCTCTGTAGGTACAGACATTTTTGTTGTCTCTGTTGGTTTTGACGTATGTGTTGTCTCTGTTGATAATGATGATTGTGTTGTCTCTTGTGGTATTGACGATTGTGTTATGTCTGTTGGTACTGAGTCAGTGACGTTTGTGTTCTCTGTTGTTAATGACGTTTGTGTTGTCTGCGCTGGTACTGACGTTTGTGTTGTCTTTGTTGGTAAAGACGATTGTGTTGTTTCTGTTGGTACTGACGTTTGTGTTGTCTCTGCTGGTACAGACGATTGTATTTTCTCTACTGGTACTGACGATTGTGTTGTTCATGTTTGTACTGACATTTGTGTTGTCTCTGTTGGCACTGCTGACTGTGTTGTTTCTGTTGGTATTGACGATTGCGTTGTCTCTGCAAACGCTGATGTTTGCGTTGTCTCTTTTGGTATTGACGATTGTGTTGTCTCTGTTGGTTCTGACGTTTGTGTTGTCTCTGTTGGTAATGACTTTTGTGTTGTCTCTAGTGGTAATTACGATTGTGTTATATTTGTTGGTTCTGACATTTGTGTTGTGTCTGTTGTTAATGACGTTTGTATTGTCCCTCCTGGTGCTGACGTAAATGTTGTCTGCGCTGGAACTGACGATTGTGTTGTCCATGTTAGTACTGACGTTTGAATTGTCTCTGTTGGCAATGATGATTGCGTTGTTTCTGTTGGTACTGACGTTTGTGTTATCTCTACTGGTACATACGATTGTATTTTCTCTGCTGGTACTGACGATTGTGTTGTCCATATTGGTACTGAACATTGTGTTGTCTCTGTTGGTAATGACGATTGTATCTTTTCTTTTGGTACTGACGATTGTGTTGTCTATGCTAACGCTGAAGTTTGCGTTTTTTCTTTTGATATTGACGATTGTGTTGTCTCTGTTGGTACTTACGAATGTGTTATCTCTGTCGGTACTGACGATTGTGTTGTCTCTAGTGGTAATTACGATTGTGTTGTCTCTGTTGGTACTGATGTTTGTGTTGTTTCTTTTGTTAATGACGATTGTGTTGTTTCTGTTGGTACAGACATTTGTGTTGTCTCTGTTTGTACAGATGATTTTATTGTCTCTGTTGGTACTGTCGATTGTGTTGTCTCTACTAATGCTGACGTTTGCGTTGTCTCTTTAAGTATTGACGATTGTGTTGTCCTGTTGGTACTGTCAATGTTGTTGTCTCTGTTGGTACTGACGATTGTATTGTCTCTGTTGGTAATGACGAATGTGTTGCTCCTGTTGGTAATGATATTTGTGCTGTCTCTGTTGGAACCTGCGATCGTGTTATTTCTGTTGGTACTGACGTTTGTGTTGTCTTTGCTGGTACAGACGGCTGTGTTGTCTCTACTGGTATTAACGATTGTGTTATCCATTTTGGTACTGACGATTGTGTTGTTTCTGTTGGTAATGACGATTGTATTGTTTCTTTTCGTATTGACGATTGTGTTGTCTCTGCTGTTACTGACATTTGCGTTGTTCCTGTTGAATTTGACGATTGTGTAGTCTGTGTTGTTACTGATGATTGTGTTGTTTCTCTAGGTACTGATTAGAGCGTTGCTTCTATAGGCAGTGATAACGCTGTAATCTGTACAGTTGAGGAAGACATGGTTGTTTTTGTAGATAATGACGATGTTGTTGTCTCTGTAGGTAATAAAGTGGCTGTGGTCTCTGTAGGCAATGAAAACACTATTGATACGAAAGAAAATAAAGACAGTGTTACGGAGACGATTTGAATTGTGCAGTGGAATAAACATTATATATCCATAACATATAACTAACTCGAATGTTTTCTAATAACTACGTTTTAATCGAATATTTACATGATTTACAATATTTACAATCATTTTTTATTACAATTTCACAACATTGTTTTCGTTGTTAACTTATGGCATGATAAAGACGAACTGTTTACGTCTGCAACATTAGACATAAAATTTCACCCTAATCTAACCTGATTCCCAGAGATTATAAAAACAAAGTTATTTAATCACCACAGCTGCATTACAGACGACTATTATTTGAACTCTAAATGACTAGACTGACCCACTGAAGGTGTAAAAAAATTTAGGAAGATTAACGATTAATTTTCTACACTGTAATAAATTCTTTTGAAAATATTATTATCTTTTACTAAATTTAGCAGACGAAAATGTTACTTTATTCAATGTAAAATTAACGATTAAAATAAACTTGCAAAAATATAAGTGCAATTAATAAAAACGATTTCTACTCTATTCAAAAATTATAACTTAAATACAATCATACTAAAAAAAAAATATTTTCTTCAATCCATTCTCCCCCTCTTGTTTGCTCTAAGCCAATCAAACAAAATAATAATTAAACGATACAAAACTGTCTATGATCTAAGTTCAAATTATTAAATTTAAATTTATATCAAAATATCTATCTGTCTAGATTAAAATGAAACTATATGTCCAAATTATTTCAATTATTCATCACTGTCATTTTCGGAGGTTTCGATGTCTAACGGACACAGTTTTGATATTGGTCTTATTAATACTGTTTGTCCAAGGGAAACTTTCGCAACGCGAACATGTTCATCTTTTCCGGGGAAAAACTTCGATTATTCTGCCAAGCGGCCAATGTCCTATCGGAACGTTCGGATTCATCACAAGCACAACATCTTCGGTTTTCATGTTCCTTTTCGTTTTAGTCCACTTGTCACGTTTATTTAGTCCAGGCAACCATTCTCTTATCCAACGTTTCCAAAAATGTCTGATTAATTCCTGTATTCTTCTCCACCGTTTTCTAGGGTTAAAATCTGTATTATCAACTGATTCTGGAGCGAAATGTCCACCGAATTGTCCGTGCAAGAAATGATTCGGTGTTAAAGGTTTATCATCTTTCGGATCGGCTGACTGTTACGTAAGCGGTCTCGAATTGATTAGCGCTTCAGCTCCGGTAAATACTGTTAAAAGTTCCTCATCATTAATGTTTGCATTTCCTAATATTGCGTAAATTGACCTTTTTTGCGGATTTGATCATAGTTTCGTGAATACCACCAAAATTAGGAGCTAGCGGTGAAGTAAAATGCAACTTAATCACTTGATTACTAATTGAATTCTGTATTTTATCATTGTCTAAAAGTTCTTTGAGTTCCCTATTTGCTCCAACAAAATTAGTTCCATTGTCTGAAATAATCTCTTTAGGAAGATCTCGCCTATTCACCATCCAATAAAATGTGTTAAGAAATGAGTCTATATTTCATCCAAATGCTACTTTCAAATGCACTGCACGAGACGCTTAACATGTAAATAGACATAAGTATCTTTTTTGACGTCGTTATCCTCTCCCCTGAACTCTTATGAAGGGTCCTCAAAAATCAACTTCTGTAAGATCGAAAGCATGTAACGGTGTTTTGAAACGAATTTCCGGCAACGAGAGAGCGAAATTTTTTCAGTTGTTTTTTTTTTCTTCGAAATTTGATTTTTGGCAGGGGAAAGAACTTTTTACAAGCGAGCGATATTCTCTTTTTTTTCTAAAATCTATAAAAAGAATTTTAAGTAAGCGAGCGATTAGAAATTTATATAGTTTTGGTGCTTGATACTTAATATATCTCATATCCTAGTTCTTATATTACCTTACTGTGCTTCTCAGTTTGTTCTCTGACAACCAATTTAATCTCTTCATTTCCAAGTATAAAATGATTAACTTGTAGCAAAAACTACAACTTTGTGTAGTCTGATCAAATAAATATGATCCTGCTGAACATGAAAAAGTACAACAGCTTTGAACAGGCATGCATCCTTGTTTAATGTAAGTTGTAATTGATGCATTGTATGTTGTTTAAAATGAATGTATGCAAAGCCTAAATGCATGTATAAAGCTTGTAATATATACAAACATAATATTTGTATATACAACAAGCTGACAACTTATAAAGGACTGTCCTTCGAAAAGCACACCAATTTATACCATTCAAATGAACCAGTCAAATGCTATATACTAAAAAGCACAACTAGTTTAGTATACCATTCAAATGAACAAGTCAGATGCTATATACTAACTAAACAAAAGGAACATATCAATACATTCCACTAAAGTCATAGCTTTCCTGTAGAATTTAATGATAATCAAATTTATATTTATATGCATGTGGATATTGCTCTGTGCTGAAGGCCATACCATTAACTAGTTGCAAACCTCAACAAAATTGGTCTCTGTTGGAAGGTTGTCACATTGACGATCATACAAATTCTTATTTGTAGAAGATTTTCTAAGTTGTAAAGATGAATTAATGTGTTAAATTCAATTACCACACACAAATTCAAATTCCATGCTTTTAACTAGTATACATAATTGTCAGCTGTTGACAGCCTCTGGATGCGGGATTTTCTTGCTGTTTTGAAGACCCATTGATGGCATTAAACTGTTTTCTGCTACTTGGTTGGGTTGCTGTCTCTTTGATACTTTCCCCATTTCTATTCTCAATTTTTTTTAATACAACTTTGTAATGATACTTGAAAATATGAATAAAAGATTAAAAAAATTCAAGGAAAAAACTTAAATTTAATACAGATAAAAAAAATAGTTTCATTTGCAGTGCCATTTCAATTCATGTACCATCTACTTTGGGATTTTCTTTTATTCTTATGCATGTTATATTGTCATAATTTAAATCTTTCAATTCGATGGCGTCGTTGCTTTGTCATTTGATCTTGATAGGTACAGGGTGAATCATTCAAAGATATTACTACACCGTATGTGAGTCAAGTAACTCACTTATGTCGGATTCCCCTTACAATATCACTGAAAGTTTTAGCTGGTTCTGCTGCTGTTAGAATCTTGGTGAAAATATCCGTTGACAGTAGGTTCCAGTCTTTAACTGTGATTGGTATGAAGCAGGATTTTAATCTGTCTGGTTTTATTTGCAGTCTCAGGAAATGTTGACCTTATGCATGTTCTTGGTTGTCCTAGATGTTTTTTCTTCAGTTGATCAGATGGTAAATTGGCGGATCTCCGAATTGCCCAAATCATATTCTACTGATGTGATTGTCTGCGATACCACTGTAACTACAAATAGTCCACTCATATCTTACGTTAAGAATGCTTATCAAACTAAATTTGGCAATTATATTGTAACAACAACGTTGTGTATGTTAGTTCTAGATCGTTTTTTATGTCAATTTCCGTGTCTGTCTCGGCCGATCATTGTGCGATCCTTACTCTCCCCCTCAGTGGCGGCGAGTGTATCTTCCTTCTTTTTAGTAGCATAGTTCTGTTTTGTTTTCGATTCGAATCTCACGGGAATTTTTGGCTGACTGAACGATTGTTTATCACTTATGCGATCCCTATGTAAAAGTCTGTGGTGCACTCCTTTGCTTCCACCCAAGTTACACGCTCTACTTCTTGGACACTGCTTACCAACGTGATCATGTCCTAGGCAACGATAACATAACTGAAGTCGTTTTTGCGGTATCCTATATCTTGTGCACGGTCAATTTCCGAAGTTCATCACATCTCCAGACTTCATGATAACTGTTACAAAACTTGCACAAAGGTTTCGTTGATTCTCTGTTTCCAGTGTTGTCTTCATTTTGCAATTCTCCAAAAAATGTTCTAAATCCATCCCTACGATTTCCCTTCAAATTCCGCTGTGAATTGCTACTAGTGTTTGCACTTAATCCGTGTATTGTTTCTAAAGCTATAGTTTGAAACTCTGACTCCTGTAAAATCCACTCCCGTAGACATTCAACTGACTCTATTTTTCTGCTTCTGAATATCCAACGATGGTACCTCGACAACATAATTCTGTCATCTTTCGCTGAAATTTGTTGTACAAAGAACCATTCTTGAACTCCTCAAAACCACCTGCTTCTTTCAAAATCACAGCTAATAAATCCTGTAAATCTTTACATTTTTCGATGTCTTTAGCGAATCCTTCTCTCATAGGTTTAAAATTTTCAAGTTCTTCGATATACCAGGTTATTTGTCTCCTTTGTCTTCCATACTTTCTTTCTAAACGCTCCTTTGAGGCATCGTATGCAACTGCAGAATGTCCTAAATTTTCAATAACTTGTAAAGCATCACCTTCCACGTATTGTTTCACTTGCAATAACTTATACTCCTTTGTTGCAGGTGCTTGATCAATACATGTTAAGAACGCAGCTTTCCAGCTCAGTTCTTTTTATTACCTGTGAATATCGGTATCGAGACTCTTTTTAACTGTTTCCACATATCCTGTCCTATTTCTGAACAAAATGTCTTTCTATCCTCTCGCTTGCCGTTACTTTCTTCTTTCGCAATTTGCCCAACATCTGTTGATAAATTCGGATCGTTATTTGCATTGCTATTCACAAATGTACATGTATTTGGTTGATCTGGTTTAAATTCAACATCCTTTTCTTCACTAGCATGTATACTCTCCACTTTATGTCCGGAATTCACATTAGCTCGTCTTGATACTCTCGATGCACTAGAAGCAACGCTTGAATCATCCTTGCTCTTGATTAAATAATCCTGACACTCGTTTTCTGCGTCCGTAAATTCACTTTCCATTTGTTCCATTTTTTTTGTTGTTTTTCTTCATATTCTGAATGTCATTCCTGTCCTTATATTCATCAAAGAGATTTCCTATTATTTCCATCGCTTTTTCTTCCGCATTTAACAGTTTCTCCTGGAATTCTTTAACTTCTTTACTGTCCGGGAAATCAAGAATCTGAAGTAATTTATCATGTTTATGTCTTACTTTCGTAAATGCCAATTTCGTTTGCGCTTTATCCTTCTTTAAATCTTCTAATTCTACACCTTCGTCTGGTTTTGCAATAACGGTTTCGTCCATTTTTTTATCCCTCGCTAGCCTCTGCTTGTATTTTCAAGTCCCAATTACTCATTTTTTTCTCTTTTTGATTACGAATAGACAGTTCATTAAACCACGCTCTGCTACCAAAATATTACGGAGACGATTTGAATTGTGCAGTGGAATAAACGTTCATATATCCATAACATATAACTAACTCGAATGTTTGCTAATAACTACGTTTAAATCGAATATTTACAATACATGTATTTACAATCATTTTTTATTACAATTTCACAACATTGTTTTCGATGTTAACTTATTGCATGATAAAGACGAACTGTTTACGTCTGCAACATTATACATAACATTTCACATTTTAACACTAATTTAACCTGATTCCCAGAGATTATCAAAACAAAGTAATTCAGAATATAGCACTCTCGACCAATGAAATTGTAGGATTTGGTGTTTCTTAATTGTGAAGAATGAATGAAATCATGTTCTTAGTAAGAGATTATCCTATTGCCTATAGGCCTACTTACAGTTCAAAACAAAGAGTTTCTATAAACGAGTTACAAATGCCCTGAAGCACATTTATCAGCTTGAAAGAATTTATGCTTAAAACTGACTAAAAGTTGAATTTTGAAACAAACAAAAAAAAATCAAAAAAAGATGAAGTTTACTGGTGCAGTAACATTGGTACCGTTATGAGAATAATTAATAACTTCAAATTACTAAAACAAATAATAAACAATATCAAAGCAATGCAATTAAAAAAAAAAAAAAGTTTTAAAATTAAATAAAACCTAAATCTTTAGCGTCTACTCATTCAAAATTTCAGATTACAGGAACCGCGGTTGGTGAGAATAGGAATTTCCAATATTCTGATAAAATTCTAAAAAAAGGAATATAGTTTAACTTTTGAATATATTTTATACTATTTTAAAGGCATTGTATTTGATCATTTCCCTGACATAATGAAGTAGTATTTGATGTAAAGGACTGGACTAAAATATTGGCTGTAAAATGAAATGTATTTGTGACTCAAATTTTGAATTTATTGATTTGAACTGGAAATTAAAAAAAAGATAATTCCTCGCTAAAATAGTACATGATTTACATTCATACTCACAATCAGGAAACATTTCTTATCATTGTACTGTTGTGTCATCTACTGTCTAAAACACAATCTATTATATTTTCCAAAATTATAAGACAATCCTTACATCACTAAAACTGATCCATAGATGAAATCATGCCTAAAAAGGAAGGCATTAATTACAAACATTCCACTGACAATGAACCTAATTCTTAAATACAACCAATCAAGAGATCATTTTAGCCTTGAGCACTTTACAATATTCTAAGTTTGTAAGAGAATGATAATACCTTACTTAGCACATACTTACAACTTCTCGTCAAATCAAATTGCTTATATTTGCCTTCTAATTTTCATAGTACATACTTTTCCTGTGTACTACGTAACTACGCATGAATGACCACAAGGGTAAGATTTCATTGTATCGTAATCAAGATATTTAAAACAAAAATTGCCACTGGCTATTTTGAAATAAAATGCTGTGTTCAAATTAAATTAAATATTTTGTAATTAGTTTTCACGTTGATTTTTAAATATCCTGCTATTAAAATCTTTGGATCTAAAAATTGTTTTTGACAATTGCAAATTTTATCATTTAAATAAAGGGTAATACATATGGTTCTTTATACCTTGATTAGAGTACAACGATATCTTAAAATTATGATAATGTATCATCCATGCAATTACTTTGTACACAGAAAAGTGTGTACTATGAAACCTTGTGCAGGAAAATTAAAGCAACTTGGTGATAATTTTTTTAACTTTCTTAAGAAAGGTGTTCTATTTCGTCATGAATTGATTGATTTATTGATAATTGGTTGCTTAATGTCCAGTGGCAAATATTTCATGCATGTTCAGGACGATGTCATGAATTGAAAAACTGTGATTATGTTTGAAGATAATGTGCCACCTATATATATATATAAACATATTCTGATAAATCTTTTAGTTTTTACTTTGAAATAATAAAAAATAAACAACACAAAACACATAACCTATAATCTCTGATCTATTGGTAGATGCTTTTTAATGCCTATCTGCTAGACTATATCTATGGGGGAAAACTATCTCTATGTTTCAAATTTATTATAGCTTTAGTTTTACTGTGAAATTAAAAAATGTTTTCAAAACATGTAAAGCTTCCACTGCAATTTAATTATTGCCTACTGTTGGTCAATTTATTTTTTCATCTTACCATGTAAGAAGAACATGTATAGTAAAACACCGCTTTATATCAGTATACATACTTACACCAGCAGCTACCATCTTTTCATTCTGGAGAGAAGGGCCTTTTGAAATCACATATTTTACAATAATACTAGTGAGTAGATTTACAAAACTTCGTTAATGAGCTCCTTTTTACAAACACCTGTGATACAAGTAGTCAGCCAAAATAAACTATCAATAGACCAATTACTCGAGTTGTAAATATGTGCTCAATTGGATAGTCTATGAAAAGGTATATACTATGAAATTAAGAGCTCGGGGCAAGCCCCTCGCTCTAAATTTCATAGTATATACCTTTCCATAGACTAACCTAGACATATGCTATATCTCCACAGCTGCATTACAGGCGACTATTATTTGAAATCTTAATGACTAGACTGAAGGTGTCATAAAATTTAGGAACCCCGTTAAGATTAACGATTAGCTTTCTACGCTGTAATAAAATCTTTAGAAAATACTATCTTTAACTAAATTTAGCAGACGAAAATGTATCTTTATTTCAACATAACTGTATTGAAAATTAACGATAAGAATAAACTTGCAAAAATATAAGTGCAATTAATAAAAAAACGATTTCTACTCTATTCAAAAATTATACCTAAAATACAATCATACTAAAAAAAACTAAAACTATTGTCTTCAATCCAGACAGAGTAGAGGAAGATGACATGTTTAAACCAGTTGACATCAAAGTAGTGTCTGCGTCTGTAGTATCATTAACACAACTACTCTCATCAGAACCATCTGTACAATCTATGTGCCCATTACATCCGGCTCCACTTGTCACACATTGTCCATTGCTACATAGATATAAAACCTCTGGGCAAGATGAAATTGCATCACCTGATAAATATATGTTCGTTGATACTGTTTTGTTTCCTATCAAGACATTTCGATCTTATAACAATTGTTGCACACGATATATCATAAAAGTGTACAGGTTTAATCAAATATAACTACATTTTATTGGTTTAAAATATCCTTTAGCTTCAACTACAGCTTCAAAGAACCTCTATCGTTTACTTATCATCCGTACGTAATTCATGTAGAACAAAATAGCTCTACCAAATGTGCCAAGAGGCAGAGCAAGGGTTAAGTAAATATGTCAGTAACAATAAGACATGTATTTGTTAAGATTTACTCAACCGTAAGAAGCATCTGCCACAAAAAACATTTGATTGAACTTCTCGGAAATTCAGTTATTACAGTTACTGCCATATATAATATTTTGTAAGGTTAGAGGTTTTTCATCGCAACATGGAAATGTTCTCATGATATAACGGTTTTATGGACAGTTTAAGCTATGTAATATTTAATTAACTCATACTTTTTAAACTCTTGTTTAATACAGTTGATGTGGTATTCATCTTGAAAAAATTGAAGATATAATTCCGGTTAAATGATACCAGTTAACATGTATCGAGAGACAAATAAAAAATCAACTAAATCGTTTGAAGTCGAATCAGTTTGATATGAGGAAAGAACAAAAGAGGCGGAAGATAAAATGGCTAAAAAATAGAAAGACAAACAAACAACAGTACACAAAACAAAACAAAGAAAACTAAAGACTGAGCAACACGTCTTTATTCAATGAAATGCCGTCATTTTTATAGCGAATTCCTCCTCAGAAGCTTCTATATGAAGTCTGCATCATATGAATAAAGTTGGCAAAAAGAGGAACGAAGTTGCTTCGCATAGACATTTCAATTGTTTGTTATAAAAACACGTCCTTCAAACAGGTCAAATTTGTTTTCAATACAATAAAATAAAAAATCTTGATTGTGTGAGTTTCAGAGTTTTTTTTTTATCAAAACATGATTTATCCCTTCCTATGAATTTATGGAAAAACGTTCAGAATTGCAACTCAGGTACAGGTCGCACTAATTAACACACATTTGATTGTTTCCCGCTTTTGCGTAGCTCCTCAATTTATATATGTCGTATCGCAAGATATATTTCAATGACATAACGTGCCCTTTTATATTTGAATTTTAATTTCCTTTATTCCATCATTTAATTGTTTATTTTTGTTTGCTGTCTCCGAATAACTAGGAGATTATTTTACGAAACCAACTGTATACATTGACATGCTACACAATGACTGCAAACAATTAAATTGGTGTTAACAAATGCTATCTGTAACTAGGTCGAAATTTTGAAAATGTTAACATAGAAATAGTTTGTAGATTCTAAGTTTCATGAAATAATAAACCAATTTTCCCAAGTGTCATTAGAGTTTCAGTTCTCCAGCTCAATGAAGACCTCAATGTTCAATTGCAATATAGCAATCACTTGAACAAATATAAAAAATCTGTATGGAGTCAATAACATTCTCACAACCAAGAGATGAAATATATGAATGTAATAGGTGTTATCATAACTGTTATAATCTTATATAAACTATTATTAAATACACATATCAAACATGAAATGAGACTTTTTATTGTAAGGGTGTATACGTAATCATTTGGGTCATCCGTATCATTTGCGAATAGTCTACCTTTGCTCTGATATACATTATGCAAAGTATGAGCATTCGTACACGATTCATTTATGGTACATGTATTTTTAGAAAATATATTTATTTCACTAAAAGGCTAAAACGGCTTTATGTGCGTTTTCGCTGTATGATAAGAACATTACAATATATCAAATTATTTCAACTCTGAGCAGCAAAAAGCTCCAAAAACTTGTATATATTTGTAACAAACTTATGATCCACTTTTCTGAAACATAAGCCTGTCTTCCTTTCCTCGTTCATGACAAAACCGACTTTATCTTACAATGAGAAACACAACAGGTGCCGAACAGGAATTACTTAGTCTACCATAGTTTGTATAGAATGTTTTTGTTTGTGTTTGAAATTTTGCTGTGGTATTGTATGACTTGCTTTGATCTTTATCAATTTTCGCTGTTTTGTAATGCAAACTAGTAATAGTACAAACTGTCTTTGCAAGTATTGGGGAATAGGCGACCCATTTGTCATTATTTTAGCATGATTCAAATACTAATTTACTTTTTTGTATTTATTTTATTGATTTCACGTTTATGGGATTCTGTAATCTAGTTGAAATCAAGTTTCAACTCTCTCATTTAAAGTCGACACCAGACGTAATTCTATTGAGCCTGTGAACTTGTTCGAACATTTTTAAATATTCTGTGTTCGACGATTATGGTTACAAAAGTTTGATTTTTCTAGAAGCATGTTTTAATTCTTTTCATAATTTTTATTATAAAAGTTATCAGTGTATATTCATATTGTAAATATAAGAAGCGCATATTACTTACAGCCGTACTCATCAGATAAGTCTATGCACTCTTTTGCATTGTTACATCTTAACTCTATATCTATACATGATCCGTCGTCGACACATTGAAACTGATGACTTGTATTACACGGCAGACCTACAAAAGAAAACAAAAGTTTTTAAATTATAATTAACTTAATAGATAGTTACGATAAACGTAATATGATATGACACAACAACAACAAATGAAAATAAAATTATCTTAAGGTCATTTTAGGTCTGCAATAATATATAATGTGTTTTGTGTTTTAAAGAAGATATACATATGTATACAATTTGTCTAGCTCTTGATCATTATTACGCAAAAAATGAAATATGAGCTGCATCAGGAATCGACCTTGCATGCATGCATACTGTACATGTATAAGATTTTGATTTATTTTGAGACATTTAAATACAAAGCAAAAGACGAATTTTGATCTGTTTTGTAGGGTTCTCATAACTACTCAATTTTCAAACAGTTACAGACTTTCAGTAGAGATTTTTCAACCCGAAATAGGTTTACAGATGTATTTTTATTCATTTGCAAAAAGCCGATTTCTATCCGACGCAGCTCATACGTTATTATTGCCAATAAGTGACCAATACACACACAAACAAACAAACAAACAAACAAAAAACAAAAACAAAAGGGGAAAGTATCCTTTTAACAAAACTAATTGATAGTTACGATACAAACAACGAGATAGGACTTAAAAAAACAACATATAAGTTGTTTTATTAATATTGATATCTATTAAATAGCTGAAGCACGCCTCCGGGTGCGGGATTTTCTCGTTGTGTTGAAGACCAATTGGTGGCCTTGGGCTGATTTCTGCACTTTGGTGGGGTTCTTGTCTCTTTGACGCATTCCCGTTTCCATTCTCAATTTTATATAAGAAAAATCATCAAACAATATTCTTTATTGGACAAAAAATTAATCATGATATGTGGATCACAGATATCAAGTACTTATTTATTCCTAGTATTACATGTTTAGCGTCTGTCTCGACCATAGATACAGAGTATTTATACCAGGTTAAAAAAAAATGATATATAAATTTTTATGGAATAACAAAACGGAAAAGGTAAAACGCTCCATATTTAGTTATGACAAATTAATTGAAAATGATTGATTTAGAAATATACATATAATCTATAAAAATATGTTTGATACAAAAATAACTTCAGAAATATTTTTAAACTGGACTGTTATACAAACATTTTATTTAAACAAATGTGGAAACAGTCTACCTATATTGCAAATGAATCTGGATAGTGTAAATTTTATACCGGAAATAAAAGAGTTTTATCGTAATACCATCAAAGTTTGGCTAAAGAATAATTATAATGATAAAAAAAAAACCAATAAATACAGACTAATCCGCCAACATGGTATTTGGGAAAATTCGATAAATTCGGTTGCAGTATGACTATAGCTCCTAATTATAATTGACTTATTTAACTAACTACAAATGTATCTAGATATAGGTAGTATACAATATATTCCAAAATTGATTAAAAACAACCGTTAACCGAAAACACACGGAAATGTATAAACAACCACCCCAATCTCGGATGAGCTATGAAATTCTGATATCCTCTTGCTTTTAACTCCAGATGATATAAATACATTAGAATAAATACATTATTTATATATTGATTTTATATAAATATGTTTGTAAACGACTAACAATATGCTGTTTACCTACCTGTAGTCCCTGTAGGCAATGAAGAGGCTGTTGTCTCTGAAGTCATGATGATATGAAAGAAAATGTAAATAGAGTAGAGGAAGACAACATGTTTTAATCAATTGATAATCGAAGCAGTGTCGGATTGTGTAGCATATGGGTAATAATTTTATGACAGTCAGTTTTTAACCGGATTTCCAAAGGAAAATGTCGGTTATTAATTTTGTAATGTACGCCAGGCAGACGGGCAGGTTACCGGGCGACTGCCAAACAGTGTCCGTGCAATAACTTGAAAACGCTTTGACGAAATCTTTTCAAATTTAGATATGCTGTTTCCTGTGACTAATTTAAGGTCAAGTTCGATTTTCACGATTTTAGCTTTAATCGTTGTTGAGTAAAAAGTAAAATAACAAAAATACCGAACTCCAAGGAAATTCAAAACGGAAAGTCTCTTATCAAAAGGTAAAATCAAAAGCTCAAACACATCAAACGAATGGAGTTTTAGATCTTTAAGTAGCGAATAGTGATACTTAGAGCGTTGTCCATGCAATAACTAAAAAAAACGCTTAGACGAAAACTTTTCAAATTTAGATAAGCTTTTACCTGTGACTAAATAAAGATCAAGTTCGATTAGCACGATTTTAGTTTATCGTTGTTGAGTTTAAGACCTTAAAGTAGCAAAAATTGATACTTAGAGCGTTGTCAGTAATATTATTTGAAAACGCTTTGACGAAATCTTCTTAAATTTAAATATGCTGTTTTCTGTGACTAAATGCTAAATGAAGGTCAAAGTTCGTTTTTCACGATTGTAGCAATTTTCGTTGTTGAGTTGTAGACCTTTAAATTTTGAAAATGATACTTAGATTGATTTTGGCCTTTCCGTTTCTGAACCTTACAACATTTCATTTATACTTCATCCTGTTTTGCAGTCCAAATTTGCAAATATCATTTTGATGCAGGAAAATACGGTTTGCTGTCAATCTGACAGCCTCCTGTTTATCTTACTTCCAGATGCATTTGAACGTAGACGCAATGTTCATGTATTGCCGATTGTTTTCATACATTTGTTATTTTTGTCTCAAATTAATAGAGATTTCTCTGTTTTGATCTTTACAGTTGAAATATACTTAAAGGCAATAATGCATGTCTATTTCAGGTAATGGAAGAACGTCTACAGCTTCCAAGACGAGGTATAACGTTACTAGTTAGTGTTAAATATAATATTCATATACCTTTACTATGGAATTATCTACTTGCTGAGAGCAACCTTATGGTAGCAACAAACAGAGAGCAGGACTTATTTAAATTTTATACAGTAATAACGACCTCAATATTTTTCACAACATATTCATGATAATAAAATAATGTTTGTTAAATATTTTGCTTTCAACTTAAACATGCAGTCATTTTGAAAATGACTAAAATTCTCAAATAAACAAGACGAACCTTACTGAACTTTTTGCTGATGAATGCTGCTCTCAACATTGCAACGACGTACACTACTACTTATCGCAAAATATTCAAAAAATGTATGCTAGTATGCAAATTGATTGATGGAAATGACAAAGAAAATTCATGACAGGTTTATTAATATATTGAGTCAGAATATGAAGCTTTGGAGCTCGTTCACTATGCTCACTTGCCTCCAAACTTCATATTTTGGCTTACACGATGATGTAATACTATATCTAGCTATAAAAATCTACATATTCTAATTGTAAAATTAATTGAATGACATAAACGCTAAACAGGGGGAATTCGTAATTAGGGAATCTGGAGAACAATTAAATAATGACAGCCTTAAATAATATACAAAACGAAACACAAATAACAAACCTTTTATTGCCTTTCATAATTTTGTCAGTGGTGTACAAGTATTTACCAATAAAAACAGTCATAATGGTTTACCTTGTTGATTTTCACTATGAAATATACAGTCGTTTAATTGCTTAAATGACGGACTACTCCTACAATATGGAATCTGCTATAAATAAACGCTGTTCAATAGTTATAAATCGATTTAACTGAAACAAATCCAGGTCACAAATCAAAAACTGAGGGAAACACATCAACTATAAGAGCAAACAAAACGGAACAACAGAAACACTGAACTGCAACAAAAACAAACGCCAACATACATATAAACGGACTATGTCATAACAACTGCCATATTCCTGACTTGGTACAGGACATTTTAGGAAGACATGGTGGGTTGAACCTGCTTTTATGGCTAGCCAAACCTATATTGTATTATCATTGAAGATGATCAAGAACTCCACAAGAAGTTTTGGAAAATGGAAGAAGACAAACATCAGAAGATAGAAGAATACAGAAGACAGCAACTTTTATTGTTAGTAACATATGCTGTAGTTACAGAGTTACAGAAAAGGTGGCAAACGAACTCCATAATATCTTCAATTCACTGTCAAATGCTGAAATTATAAATGTAATCCCAGAATAAATAGTTCAATTGTAAAAAATAATTACCCTTTGAGTTCTTATTTGGAAAAATGTTATTCTTGCTATTAGTTCATATACATGTACATATTTTGGTATATAAATATTCATGTAAGAGGTAATATCACGTTCAATTACTAAAGTGCAATTATTTAGTGTAAATGAACCCCCGTTGCTAGGTCAGTATGACCACTGATAGCAGAATAGAAAATTATACAATAAATTTTATTGTATTATTTTCCCTATAACTTTTACATATTATCACTAATAGTATGCCATAATACAAAATATATGAAAAATGTACGGGGTTATGATTTATTCTATATTGAGCATTCAATGTAAATATTAAGGACATTGTTCATTAAGGTGTATTAACTCGATTCATTTAAAGAATTCAAATAAATAAACCAATATTCTCCCATGCTCACATTTCCTTCCCATTTTTTAACTATTTTTTGGACCATGTTGTTTTTTTCCAAATCAACCCTAATTACATAATTCGGCTCTTCTTCTCTGCTTAATCTTTGTATCGGCATTAGGATTCCATCAAAAACTCATATGACGTTAGTAAATGCAGCGATTCCAAAAAATACCTCTTTTATCTTTTACCATCATTGTCATGAAAATTGTTTGGACGAGTATTGTGAAAATAATTGTATAAAGTTCGATATTGCATGTTAGCTACGTAAGCGCGTCATTGTTTGTGATATCCTGTGGTGTTTGTCGTTGATGGAATATGTTCGTTGTTGTTCTGCGGTTTGCATGTTGTGTCGACTATTATATTATTTGTTTGTGCGTTTCTCTGTGATGAATGTTCTTGTGTGTGTTGTCCTGTATTTCCGTCACGTAGTGTTGTCATTTTAGCGATATTTTTTAACATTGTCATAAAGCGGTTTGGCTAGCCATAAAACCAGGTTCAATCACCATTTTTTCTTTAAAATGTCTGTACCTAGTCAGGAATATGACAGTTGTTATCAAGTAGTTCGTTTCTATGTATTTTGGCGTTTGTTTCTGTTGCACTTCAGTGTTCCTGTTGTTCCTTTGTTTTCCACTTATAGTTGATGTGTTTCCCTCGTCTTTAGTTTGTAACCCGGATTTGTTTTCCTTCGATCGATTTATGACTTTTGAACACCGGTATACTACTGTTGCCTTTATTGATCTCTCTTAGGTCTTGCTGTACATGAAAGTGTATGCTTTTAACTGTGATGTTGATAACTGCACATGTCTGGTGTATATTTCTGGAGCAAGATGGGTTGGTCAGATGTTTCTGACTGATAATCCCTTTTTGCCAGAAATCTTAATGTTTTCAAAACCTATGTTTAGAAAATTATTGTGGTAAATATTTTAGCAAGCAACATATTTGAATCTAATAGTCAAAAACATCTAATGGATTTACACCAAACATTACCGATTGGTCCTTATATATTGATCTAACTCAGTGCTGGTACTTTTTTTTCAATTGCCCATCTAACAGCATGGCGAAATAAGTTTAAAAGATGAAATACCCTTCATTCTAATGAAAAAGTACAATTACTTATTTATTCATTAATTAATGCACTGTTTCTTGTACTATAATATGTTAAAGGAATCAAAATACAAAACAAACCATGAAATACATAAGAATAATGAGAAAACAAAAAACAATTTATGTTATGCAGCTATTATGAGTTCACTCTCCTCAGTGCTAGTGCTTAGGTATTTCGTATTATGAATATACAAAGGAAAATAGAAATAAATGTACATGAGACAAAACCATACACATATTTTTACATAAAAGTATAACAGCGCTTTGATTTCTCTTCTTTTACGCTTGCTGTAAAGCCTTCAATAATTAGCAAAACTCATACTTCACTACAAATGGAGAACCATAGTAGGTTCAATATGTTAGTGTGGATAGTAGGTTCAGCCATGAGACAAGTGCCTGTGTGCTAGTGGTCTTTTAATGAAAGTGGAAATAAGTTGCATAAGAGTATGTACAGATATAATATTTTATTATAAACTTGTAACTGTGGATTGCAATTTTTCAAATCAAGTAAATAGTCAGAATTCAAAACATCCCCTTTTTAAAATATACGAAATGTACAACATAACACATGGCAGATCTAGTTTACTATACGAAATTAATAAAAAAAAAAAAACAAGCAGTCAGAAAAGACAAGGCGCATCTACAGATAAAGTTTCCTTCCTATGGTATACATGATACCCTAGATATGGAGATAAACCGAAAACTTAACTCAAGTCACGTAAGCGTAAAATATGAGGTCAAGGTGATCCTATTATGGTATGGTTGTGCTTTACTACCCAAGACCTATCCAATGATGAAGTTTCATTACTTTGTGATATATAATACCCTAGATTTAGAGTGTGACTAATGGAAGGACGAACGTACCAAACGCTATATCCAAACGCCAAATTCGTTTGCCGAGGGGATAAAAAGGGATCAGTGCTCTAAAACATGACCCCGTTTACGTACCTTTGGCACGTTTTAAAATTATTATCCTATACTGTTTGGATCTCTCGGTGTATGTTGAAATATTCCCATTCTCGTAATACCAGACGGTATCTCGCTAATGTGAGTTATGCGGCAGATCTAGAGTTTA